TGGGAGAAGCAGTTTTGTTCTGTAGTTTTACACTCTTTATTGTTGTTCAATTGTATCTGGTGGCAGGTTTAGAAAGCACCTTCCTAAGGATATTCCCCGAGGGGGCTGAGCTGTGTACACCAATCTGCCCTGTCTGGGCAAGATTGTGCATTCACAGACTTCCTGCTGGGGACTGAGGGCCAGCGAATCCCAGCACGGCCCGGGACCTGCCCTCTCCCAGAACTGGGAGCCGGTGATGGGGCCACACATCCCCGGAGCCCTGCTTCTGGGAATTCAGCTCTGCAAGAGCCTGGCAGGAAGCGAAGCCTTGAGGGAAAGACACTGAGGCTATGTGAAGTGTGGGGAGGGGAGGTGTGCATTCTTGTACACAGATGTGTGCAGAGAATGCACACACTTATACGTGTGCATTCGTGGGTGTGTGCAGAGGTTGTATGGGTCTGTGTGTGCGTGCACGTGTGCATCTGGGTGAGATGCACTGTGTGTGTGCAGGGACATACGTGTGTGTGTGTATGTGTCTGTGTGTGCATGTGACAAGGAGGCACTGGCAGGACTTCAAAGTAACAGTCTGCTGAGAAAACAAGCAGGCAGCTGCAACTCTGGTCAAAAAGAGGAGGGAAGTAAATCAAGCCACTAATGAAAGGATCAAGTCACTGTCATCCCCGAGATTAGAACATGGGACGTGTGGGCAAGCTGGATGAGACCAGGGCAACCAAAGGTGACAATGGATGTGACCAAATGACAACTGACCTCAAACTTCATAAGAATTCATTTCCCGAATAAAATCTCCTCCCAGAGGGGGGGATCCCCATACCTCATCTTTAAGCACATTTTGGACCATGTGCAAACTCAGACCTGCGCGGTAACCAAACTTCACCCTGTCGAGACCCCCTACCCATACCCATTCTGGAAAACGATCTAGGAATAATTAATGACATTCCTTTGGGACCCTTTAAAAGTGGGATATACCCATCTTCATTAGGTTCAACAGCTGTAGAGGAGCTGGTTCCCTGTCTGTGGAGTAGCCAACTGCTCGGTCTCTTCCCAGGGCTGCCTAGGGACAGTTGGCTGTTTCCCTTCTATCACAAACCTCCCAGTTAAACCTCCTGCTTGCAAATGCATGTGGCTGCCTCAGTGCTATCTTCCTTCATCACCTCAGCAAGGACCCCTGCTTCCGGTGACTCAGAAGCCTGTGCACATGTGAGCCCAGGTGAGCAAGGAAGGACAGAACAGCAGGGAGGCACTTTCTGACCTTGGCACTTTTCACCAGGGTCTCCTAAGTGGTGTCATCTACACAGTCCCTGCTCTAGCCCTGGGTGGGCGGTGGAAGCCCTGTACCTCAGGCTCAGTGCTGGGCCCTGGGGAGCAGCCAGAGGAAGTGGCAGGGCTCTACTTAAGGACTAGGGCACAGGTGGAGAGCAAAGAGAAGTACAGCACAATGCTGAGAAGCTGAGGATTGAGCTCCATTCCTGCCTCTCCAGGAGACCTGTTCACTCTGACCCTCCAGGGCTGCAGGGGGTGTGGTATGGGAGAAGCCCTGCGGTCCTTCATGGAGTGTTAACAGAAAGACCATCTCATCTCTCTGGGCTGGCTCCCGCCTGGTCAGAAGGAAATCGTCAGGCTGAGCACGCTGTTTGACAAATACATCTTCATCTAACCTGTAGGTAGGTGCAGTGGGGGAGCCCTGACAGAGGGTGCTCCTGCTCCTAAGGGACTCTGTGCAGCACAGCCTGGGACGAGGGCTCTGAACATCATAGGGCCTCTGAAGAATGCCCGGACTGTCCCTTGCTGCTCTGTCTGAGGCAGGTCCTGCTCCAGCTCAGCTGCAGGGCTGGCCACGCCTTCCACAAGCTTCCCTGGCCCTGGGCCCCTGTCTTCCTCCTCATTCATCCTTGCTCCAGCTGACTTTCTTGCAGGAAGCCCGCAGGCCAGGGAAAGACAGCCTCTTTTCATCATTTGCAAGTGCTGGCTGCCTCTGCAGCATTCTGCTCCGAAGACAGTGTCACAGCGCATCCCTGAGCTCTGTTCAGAGGGAGCCAGGGGCGGGCTCAGCGCGGGCGCCGCAGTGGGTGCTGGCGGGAGATGAGCAGACACACCTCAGTGCGACAGCTGGATCTGCAAGTGAGGAAGCTGCTGCTCGCCTCTCCCAGCACCTAGAGAGCCTGAGTTCAGCACCCGCTCTCGGGGACAGCTCCCAGCTGGTTCCCTACCAGTCCACTGCGAATCAGCCTGTAGGGACAGGGGGTCGGCCTCATGGCGGGCACCTCGTCCCCCAGAGCGTGCTCCCCACAGGAACTGTGCTTCCTCCGATGTCACCACAGCCATGCAGCCCCCTCGTTCGCCCCCGTCTCTCTCCTCCCCTTCAAATGGACCTGCCCCGGCCCCCCGACCTTTCCAGCTTCACTGAGTTTACTGGAGGCAACTGCATTAACCTAAAAGAATGATTCCAGCAGTGCGATTTCGGGTCTCAGGGATAAAAAGGACTTCAAACCACAAGCTCATTTAGTAGCCCCTTCAACAACACAGCCCTCCTCTCCCTGTTCAGTGCAACTGGTCCTGGGTGACTGGCAGAGTGGCAGGGAAGAACAGCAGAGACCAAGGAGCTGCCCAAGACGGGAGGGCCCTGGGCCTTGGAGACACCTGAGATTGCTGCTGGCTCTGTCCCCAGCATCCAGCGTGGGGGCCGGGATGGGGCCGGGACTAGAGACCCAACGGAAAGCAGAGAGCAACAGCACAGCAGGAGATGACATGTGGGCTCCAGAGAGGAACCACATTTCCACTGGAAAGCCACCCAAGGACAGGTAAGAGACTGATGGGGGAGAGTCATTCACAGGCAACACTGGGGCCTTCCTTAGTTACGCCCTGGGGCAAACGAAGTTAGACGATGAAAAGGAGTAGAATTCCACTCAGTGCAAAAAAAAAAAAAAGATGGGTAACTTTGACTAAGTTTAAATTAAGCACTTCTGTTCCTCGGGAGAAAAAAAAAAACAAAGAATTTTTAAAAGACAGGTTTTTAACACACATAACTCCCATAGCTTTTATACCCCTTACACTACATTCAATAAAGAAAACAACCGAGCAGAAAGGTGGGCAAATGACACGAATGGGCATTTTATGGGCATTTTTATCAAGAAATAATAGCAAATACAAATAGGGCAGGATGCTCACCCTGTTTGTGGTCAGGAAATTTAATTTAAGAATATGATAAGACAGATTACAGTGCCAGTTTCGCCTTCACTTAGGAAGTCTCGTAACTCTGAATGTGGCGGGGAGTGTGGCTACGGCAGCCCGCCCCCTGGGGTGGGATGGTGAATTCTTTCCATGCGCTGGGCAACAATTTGGCTTTACCTTGTAAAGTTGAATGTCCACACACCCTTAGCAGCAGCAGAAATGGAAACCCTAAATCTATACCCAAGAGAAATCGATGCTAATCAGGCATCAATTGCACAGTTTATCTGTCAGACGCACAACAGTATAGAAATTTGTCTCTGGACAGTCGTACTAACATACCGTGAGTTCAGTACAAGTATTCAGAGACAGCGTCCAGCCCCAGGACGGGACGAATTGTCAAAATGAACTAAAAACTCCTACACGGGTGCCCCAAGCAAACTGTCTGTCTGTGGGCATTCACAGCGGCATTTATTGTGCAAAAAAAAAAAATGTAAAGCAGGAAAAGGTGCTCACAAACAGGAAACACTGATAAATACTACGTATGGTACACCCGTACATATCATAACACATCAGAGATGAATCTCTGAAACAATGAGTGAAAATAAACAAGTCTTCGAGAATGTTTATAGTAGATGCCTTCTTTTTTTTTTTTTTTTTAAGGTACAGGATGCTGGAGCCAGAGAGTGCTGAGCTACATCTTTAAGCCCTTTTTATTTTTTACTTCAAGACAGGGTCTCACTAAGTTGCCCAGGCTGGCCTCAAAGTTGCAAGCCTCCTGCCTCAGCCTCCCAAACAGGTGGGTCTTCAGATGTGCACCACTGGGCCCAGCAATACATATCATTTTTATGAATCTCAAAACCAAACCAACAGGGCCAGGGATTTAGCTCAGTGGTGTAGCCGCCTGCCTCACAAGCACAAGGTAAGCGGCATATTATTTATGAATACATAAATACAGAAAAACTAATTAATAATTATTTTACAACGTAAAAATAAATACAAAATTTTGGGGGAAGCAGGCGAAAGGATGGGTGGGGCCAGGTGGACCCTCAGTAATATTCTCCACCCTATTAAGATGGGCAGAAACATCATGGGGGTCATTTTATTTGCGTACAGCAAATGTATCTTATGCATACTTTCACACAAATCAAATACCACGTAATAAATATAAAAATAAAAGACGAAACATCGTGTATTTCTACATCCCACAGATCAGGTGGATAAAAATAAACCCAATCTAACACACACACACACTCACACTCACGCACACTCCTGCCCCTGCATGTCCCACACACTCTCAGCCTTTTAGCTTTATCCTTCCCGCAAGCATGGGGTGGGGGGGGGTCCACCTCCCACAGTGCTGAGGGACCCCGAGATCCCAGGGTGTACTGGGAACAGAGTAGGCATTGCTTATGCATCCCGGCAACCTCCGCATCTTACAGATCTCAGCCCCATAAATAGGCCCACCCAGGAATCCAGTTCCAGAAAGGAACCAGCAAGGCCGCTGGGAAGGCAGGCAGAGGGACCACGCATGCGTGGGGTGGCCCAAGCCCTCAAGGCAAACTGTCAGTCCCTGAGCACAAACCCCACACCTCCCAGAGATGGAGACCAGGAGACTGAATTGTGCTGGGCGAAAACACTTCCTCACTGTGCCCCAAACCTGAGCAGGTGTCAGTGTGGAGGAGGAGGTGGGGGCACAGGAAGCAGGCGAAGAGGGAACTGGGGAAAAGCCTCCCAGGCTCCATGGGCCCCGCTGCAGCTCCTAGGACTCGAGAGTCTCTTCCATCCCCTCCCTACTCCCAGCACAACACGTCCTGGCTCTCCCCAGCACTCACCTCTGCAACTCCTTCAGGGACACGGTGACCCTCAGGCTGTGGCCCAGGACGTAGAGAGCAGCCAGGATGTCGGCCCACTGCACCATCTCCCCCAGGGGCCCGCCCTTCAGCACCCGCGGGCTGAACACGTCCCCGGACTCCTCCGTCAGGAAGCCGATGTGCACGAGGATCTGGGCCGGGGGGATAGAGAGGGTCAGCATGACAGAGCGGCCGCCCTCAGCCTTGCACACACCCAGGACAACAGCAGAAGGCCAGCTACAGTGGGCACTACCTCTGAGCTGGATCTGGCCGGGCACTTTTGGGCACTAGGGTGACTGCAACAGGTACTGGGGATATGGGGGGGGGGTCACATTCCTGTCTCCCGGGGTTTACGTTCCAGATGGAAGAGGCAGACAACAGTAAACACAGACAAGAGACAGTTTCATGAAATGATAGGGACTCTGCAAGAAATAAACAGGCAGGGTGAGAGTCGAGCAATTCTCTATTACATGTATGGATGGATGCATGGGCAGAGAGACCAGCAAATGGCTCCAAACACACGATGTGATTCCCAGCCATCCAGGCAGCCAGAACAAGATGTCCACAGGACACAGGACCCGCGAGGGACTCGTCACCTGCTTTCATCCTGACCCCACCATCCCCACCCTGCCTCTTCCTCCAGATCCAACTCAGAGAAACCCAGTGCCACCCTGTGTTCCCTTGGGAGCAATAGGCCCCCTGAGCATGTCACCCTAGATTCCTGGGCTCTACCCGCAAAGGATGCCATACCTGCTTCTGCTCCCTCCGGATGTCCCCCAGTTTCTGTGCCAGGCGCCGGGCAGCTGTCGCCCACTGGGACGTGAGCCGCTTGGTCCTCTTCTTCATGAAGATCAACGACTCCTTCCCGCTGCCCATCAGCTCCAGGAGGTGGGAGAGGTTGCTCCGGAAAACTGTCTGGGGTGCGTTGCTGTCCTCAGCTCTCTCAGCCCTAGACCCTTGGCCATGCCATCACCCCCTGCACAAGGCTGGACCCACTCCAGCTTCGCTCACCACAAGCCCGAGGTCAAGAGGCTCTGCTCTCGTCCCTCAAGCTGAGGTGTCCCAGTCCAGCGCCTGTCAACCCCCTGCCCTGAGCCCTGCCAAAGAGGTGATCAGTGATGACAGCGCCCAGGGTGCCAGGCACAGCAAGGAGGCCACATGGATGGAAGTGGTCAGCACTAGGCGCTGGGCTGCCTCTCAGCAGTGCCACTGTCACCTTGCGCCATGAACCCATTAACTCTGGAAGCCTCAGATTTGTCATCTGTTAAACACAGCCACATCAGGGCAGCCAGGAGACTTAAGTACAAATAAAGTCCTGGCACACAGAGCACCCTCAACACATGACAGCTCTTATTACTATCATTTTGCTCCATTAAGGGGGCACCTCCTTGGCCCCAGCCCGCCCTCAGGCAGGGCTCAGTGTGTGTCTGGCGTCTCTCACAACATGTGACAAGCGCTCCCGGGCTGGCAGCAGGCCTGAGGTTTCGTCCCGCTCTGTGGGGCTGATTGATTGGCTGCGTAGCCCTCTGGCCACCCACCTCCATGCCTACCTGGACTCTGGGGAGGGCCTTGGGGGCCATCTGAGCCCTTGTCTTGTTCCTCCAGGGCAGCGGGGGGCAGAACCACTCAACCTCGCTGAGGTAGATGAGGAAAGAGCACTCGGTGCCATCCACCCCGAAGAAGGCGTAGCAGGGGTCCGAGGTCCAGCGGGCGCGCATCCACTGCGGAGAGGGCAGGCCTGGGCGGGCGGCCAGTGACACCTACCCTGCCCAGCAGGCTCCCCATGCGCACAGGTTCCCAGGGCCCCAAGGTCCCCGAGACAGGGCCTATGTGGAACGTCTGCCCTAAAGACGCAGCAGCGGGGGCTGAGAGGAGAACTGAAACAGGAAGATAGCTCTAGGACCCAGCTCTCTGCCCTGGCCACAGAAGGCCACAGAGACCAGGCCAGGAGAGAAGACCTTGGGAGACCTAGCCAGGCCAGGGCAAGGAGGGCCAAGCTCCGGGGAGAGCCAGGAGGGGCAGCGGGGCAGGCTGGGCCATCCTTTCTCATCTGTCCCTCATCCTGTCACTTTGGCTAGTGGCGAAGGTCATGGGGAGTTCTTCAAGCAGGCCAAGGAGGGGTGCAGGGAAGGTGCTCCCACAGTGGTCCCCAAAGAAGGGGACCTCGGCCCACCCCCTTGGGATCCAGAACCACTGAAGGCCTGGCTTTATGGCTGTGGGTGGACTCGCCACATGGACAGACGTCAGCATGCAGCCAGAGATGAACCTGGAGGTGGGCCAGCGACCCTCAGCCCGGCTGTGGGCTGAGCCAGGAGGAGCCTCCGCTCAGCCCTTCTTACCTCCACCTTCCCAGGGCAGTCAGGGAACTTGGGGTCGCTGGGAGCCTCACACTGATCCTGTCGGCCCTCAGACACTATAGGGAGAGGCCAGGGAGATGTCAGTTGGCTGAGAACTGTGTCCCAGGAGGACCCAGACAGAGGGCGAGGGGCAGGAGGGTCTGCACCACCCCTCCCATCTCAGTTTTCTCATCAGAAAGGCCACTATCTGACACTCCAAGGAGTCCCCAGGTCTGAGCTGTTCCCTGCACACCCCTGGTCTCCCTGGGGGTTCAGAGCCAGCCAGGGTATGTCAGAAAACCTAGGAAGGGGCTACCTGGAGCCCTGCATTTTCTGAGGTGGACAGAGAAAGGCCTGCAACCCCCAGCCGCTCCCACCTCGAGGGGAATGGAGGGCCCCTGAGACCCTTCCCAGCTGGCCTTGCTCTTGGGACCTCAGTAGCCAGGACTCCAGGCACTGCCTGTCCTCAGCACCCTCAGGCAGGGCAGGGTGGGGTGAACCCCAGGTTACCTGCTGAGAGCCTGGAGTGGGGCCCCAAAGAGCCAGGAGAGCTGTCTCAGGAGGAAGCCAGCCCTCCCCAGGTGGCTCCCCACCCTGCACCCACCCTTGCTGTGCAGGAGCAGACTGTGGCGCAGGATCTGGTCCACCTTCACGGCAATGTCAGAGACATTCTGGGCGATGGCCTGGATCCGCTCCATGAGGCCAGCCCCAGGGGAGAACCTGAGCGGGGAGAAGCCACAGAGATGAGCAGCAGAACCTGCCTGGGGGGAGCTTTGGGTGGCTTCAGTCGGGCACCAAAGGCAGCACGGTCAGCAGCACCGCAAGTCCCTCTCCACAGACCCCGCAGCAAGGGATAAAGCCGGTGCAGACGGACCGGAGCCCACCTCATCCAAGGAGCACTTTGCACACGCGTCTGTGCATGCCAGGTGTGTCTGTGTGCGTGCTGCTGTGGGTCAACAGGCAGGGCTGGGGCTGGAGCAAGCAGAGGCAGAACGGGACTGCACCAGGGTCTTAGAGCCCCTGAGTCCTCGCCTGGCCCAAAGATGCCCATGGGTAACCAGGAGCAGGCTAAAGCTTGGCATCTCTCCCTTCACTGTGCATCTGTCTCCTTCATTTCCTTAAGCCTTGGGTCAGATTCCTGCTCAGCCCTGCACGTAGGCAGTTAATTATTTAGGAAGCGCTGGTCTAGCAGGCGCACGTCCACTGGTAACTTCCTCTTCCAAGCTGAGCACACCAAGATAAGAGTAACTGAGGTATTTCCAAGATGAGCAGGGACATCATCATTGACAGACTGTCAACTGCCAGCTTTGACAAGCGCCTAACAGACCGCTAAGGCAGGGCCTGAGAGTCTCCACTTGCGCCCTGACTCACTCTGCCTTGCCTCTCGGACTTGCCCTGGAGTCATTCTCTCCTGCAGTCGCCTGGGATTCCAGGAGCAATAGGTCCTGTGACACGTCAGTGACAAGAGTCAAAACCCAAATTTTTGTCCCGAGAAGGCGCTGAGGGGCCCTCCGGAGACGACGAGCAACCAGACCCGTCTGCTCAGGACTGCTTAACCATGCACGCTCTTTTCCCGCCTCCTCTCCCTTCCTTGTGTAAAACCCCTGTGAGCCCCCAAAGCTACCAGTCCCCTTCCCACCGTGGAGGAGACTCCTTTCCTCTTTCAGCATCATTTTCTCTGGTTTTGGGGGTGAGTGGTGAGACCTGGTCTACTGAGGGCCCCCGAAGTTGCCCCTCCCACGCCGGGGCCTCGGACTCGGGTAAGAGGATCTGTCCAGGACCCTGGGAGTCCCGAGTCTGTTTCTGTCCTTCCCACATCACACTGAAACCAATTCCACCCGCAGCAGCCTGAGGACCTGCCAGCTCTTAAAACTCTAGGAAATTATCGCGGGCTTCCTGATGGCGAGCCCTTCCCAAGGACCCTAAAGTAGTTACCAACCACCCAGACCCCGTGGGTTCCACTCACCCTCAGTACGTGTATTGCTTTTGTTCTGGGAGAATGGATCTCCTCATGTTGGTGATAGCTTCACTCTGGGGGTTCTATTAGACATCATCGACATTATTTGTGATTATCTCATCACAACGCCTTCTGTGGACGGGGATCTCACTCTGCTGTGTCATCTTCCTGTCGGTACCCCGGGTCCCTTTCTCCAGGAACTCGCTCACTTTTAGCACGTGAATTCCACCTCCCTTAGCTTTCACCTCACCCTCTAGCCACACGATTTTGCCAGCCTCCAGTTCAAGCTCCATTCATCCTGCACGAGGTGCTGGGTCCACCTGAGCACAGCAATTCGAACTGGATGAAACATTTTTCCAACCTGGCTCTGCTGAGTCTGCAGCCCCCTCCCCTCCTCTCTGGGCCAGGGGCCCTGCCCACCAGAGGGCACAGCAGTGAAGCCCAGTGGCAGTCTGACTGCCCTCTCCGACACCTTCCCCGTCACCTCCACCTTCTGCAGGAAATGAGGGGCAGTGGCTCCATTCACAGAGGGCAAGACGTAAGGGTAAGGGGGCCAAAGCACACGTGGAGGCTGGGAAAGGGACAGAAGTAAGTGACAGGAAGGGGGAAGGAGCTCTCATAGACACATGCGCGAGCACGCACACACACACACACACACACACACACACACACACACACACACACACACACCATTCTTTAGTCTGGTACCCCAACATCCTGGGGAAAACCCCAACGGAAATGGCACAGCTCTGGCATTGATTTCCTTGGGGCAGGCGTCAAAGAAAGGACCACAAGCCAAGTGGCTTAAATCCACACTCCACAGCACAGGTCCTGGGTGCTAATGCACGTGAATTCCCCTTTGGGGCCTTGGTGGCCCCCTTCCGCCCTTTTCTCCCAGAGCCTGCTGGCTCCTGGCTCCCTGACGGTTAGTGGCTGGTGGCTGTGTGGCCCCATCTCTGTCACACCGCCTCTTCTTACGAGGATACCGGCAACTGCTCTAGCACCCACCCTCGCCGGCAGGGCCTCGCCTCAACTTGCACATGTGCCTGCAGCGACCTCGTGTCCAAATAAATTCACATTCACCATAAAGGGGTGCAGAGACACTCTTGCAAACAAGGTCACTTTCTGAAGCACCATTTGAGCAGGGGTGAGGGCTTTGGCACATCTTTGGGAAGGACACAGTTCAACTCCCAGCAGCCTTCTGCAAGATCACAAGAATGAGAGACTTGGAAGACGGGCGCTTCCTGTGTTCAGGCAGGAGAAAGCAAAAGTATTATTTCTCATTGGTCTCTAGACGGTCAAGAAGTGCTGCTGGGAAGAGAATGGTCAGCTGGTGCTCGGCTCAGGCGTTTCCCAGGGGCAGGGGACAAAGCTCAGGCTTCTATGAGCTGTGTGGCCCTGGTCGAGTCACTTAGCCTCTCCGTGTTCAGTGTGCTCATGAAGACGAAGACGATCACAGCTACCTCGCAGAGTTGCCGTGAGGACCGAGGGAGAAAGCGGTGGGAAGTGTGTGGAACGTGAAGCCAGCGAGCTGTGTGTTGGTGGCGTCGCTGTCCCTGTCCCTGTCCCTGTCGTAGCTGAAGCTGCAGAAAGGGGATTAGGTGGGTGTCCCAGCCCTTTGCATTACTGACCCCCTAAGGGGGTTTTCAGAGTTGTTTTGCTGACCTGTCCCTGCCTCCCACTTGCCTGTCTGCAACGAGAGTTTACCCCATCCCCACCAGAGCCTGCACTCGCACGGGGCTGACGCCCTTCACTGAGAATGCACGGGGACCCAGGAAGGAAGCCGCTTCCTAGGACAAGATCAGACGAAGAGCGCATGGCCGTTCTTCCCGCTGACCCGGGGGGACAGGAAGGATGCAGTGAATGTGGAGACGGCCAAAGGAGGCAGCCATAGCGACAGGGGACAGGAAGCCTCCAAAACCCACGCTGGCCCGCAAGGGCACCCACCATCGGGACGGGAGGTGTCCAGGCGGTGGGAAAGGGCCAGGGGCTGGCCTTCTCCTAACCAGGGCACAATCACCCACCACAGGGATGGGCCGGGATCCTGTCAGGCCACTGGGGATGTGGGACAGATGCCACCCACTCCACCCCACCTTTCCATAGCCCCACACCCCGGCTCTTCTCCATCCTCCCCTGAAGCCCTCCCGGCCATCGGGCTTGGTTATGGGTGTCGGGCTGAGCCTGCAGATGGAGCCTGGAGCCCTCAAGGTCAGGACTCAGCTTTCGCAGGCAGAGCCTGGCGCTGCCTTAGCACAGGCCACATGTCCAGGGCCTCATAGCATAGGCTGCGGCGTCCTCCAATTCACTGGCACTTCAGAGGGTGACATTACCTGCAAGGCCATGCAGTGCCGGAGACCATGGGGAGCTGCACAGGCAGGGCAGGACCCTCCCCTAGCGCATCTGGGAGGAGCAGCCCTGCACCACCCTGACTTCAGACCTCCTGCCTCCAGCACGACGCAAGAAGAAACTGCAATTGTTTAAGCCGCCTGGCTCACAGCAGCTTTTTTACCGTGACCCTAGGAAACTAATCTAATCACCACCTGCGGAACAGAGGGAAAAATGGTTTTTAATCCACCACGGAGAGCCAGGTTCCCCCGGCCACCCCTGCTGCCAGGAAGTCCTTTACCTCTTGCCGAAGCCCAAGCTTCATTCTGCTGCTGCTCTCACGGGAGACAAAGAAATCAGAGGCTGCCCTTGATTTCCAAGCCCTGCTCTGACATTATTGAGAGGTTTATTGGAAAAAGCGAAGGCCTTGGAGTCAGAGAGCCTGAATTCAAATCCTGACTCTGTGTTACATCTGTGTGACCCTGGGCAAGCTCCCTGACCTCCCGAGCTCCAGTTTTAACTCCCTTGAAATCAGAGTAGCAGAGTTATTTTCAAGCTGAGACGTGAGGATGAAAATCAAGGCCTCAGCATTCAGTAGGTGCTCAATAGATGTCTGACAGGCTTTCACTCCTTACCGACAGCGGTCATCCCACTCCTGAGGAAGTACGGCAGAGCCCAACCACAGAGAGAAGCGCTTTTGGGGGGATTCAGCAATTTTCTTGCAATAAGCATTTTTGCATAAAACATATCGCGAGCACAGACTTTAAATAGTGCAGATGGCGTCTGTCTGATTTAACAAGTTCAACTTGTTCACAGCGGAATTACTTGGCATCACTATTATTATACTGGACTTTGCATTTGCATAGATAGCGCTTTCTATTTTCAAATAATGTATGATTAGGTCTCTTGCCCTGAGAAGCTTTTCTACAAATGGCAATAAAAGTAAATGTCTGCAGGCCTCAGAGCACAGCAGATCTATGACCTGGAAATGCCTCGGTGGGAAAGAAAAAGAGGAGACGGATGAGGGACGTGGCTGTAGCTGCCTGGAGCTGGCCCCGGGGAAGCCAGAGCCTTGATGTCACCACTTGGTGGATGGGGGCCGGCACCGGGGCCGGCTTCTCCGTGGCCAGCAGGAGGAGGAGCAATGCTAGGGGGGCGACGCTTTTAGAGGGCCATGAAAACGTCTGCATTTCTTTTCAAATTAGAGGGGAAAGGCCTGTAGATACAAGACAATGGTTTGCTGTGTAACATGAATACATTCACCTGTAAACCAACAGAGTCATAAAATACAATTTGTAGATGGCAGCCCTCATTTCCAGGCCCTCAGAATGCGACCTGATTGGAAAATCTGGTCATGGTAGGTGTAATTCAGCAAGTCACGGGCAGGGGATTTAGCTCAGTGGCACCGCGCCTGCCTCAGCAAGTCACTACGAGGTC